GATTCACCACCTTCGGCTCATCAAATCAAATCCCGCCGCCTGAATTTCCACAAGGAAAAACCAAACTGAAAATTCAATTAAGATCAAATTTAAATACGACACAAAAAGAAAAACAGAACTTGAGGGAATAAAAACAGAGGATTAAAACTCAACCTGAATTTTTGTGTAGTAGTTGGTTAATTTGAAGCTCCCTCTTGAAGGTTTTTATTTATTTTTTAATAACTTTTCTATGGCTGTTTTTGAAAGGTTGGTCTTTCGTGAACTGAGGGAGACAAATAAGTCTTGCCATCTCCCATATTAGACCAATAAGACAAATAAGTATAGCCCCAACCGCTCCACCAAAACGAGGTCGTTTGGGTCGCGGTTACGTTGCGAAAGCGGTAGAAACGCCGTTCTCTGGACTCTTTTAGTACGCCGTCGTTTAGGTCGAGTTCCCCTACTCCCCTTTTTGTCTACTTCTCAAGCGTAGAGTAATTCTAAAAGAATCCCAGCCGAAGAACGGAAAAACAAAGGTATGAAAAGAAAGACAGGAAAAGGAGGAGAAGAAGAAAAAGAGGAAGAGAAAAACAAAAAGAAGATGGAGATTGTTTGGCAAACTCCAGCTCATCCTGCTCATAAAGACGATTATATTTTGCTCAATGGTAAATTTAATTTTCAAAACAAAAAAAAGAAAGCAATTGATGTTAATAAGTAAACCATACAGAAGCTCAATCTTTTGACGAGAATTTTGCAGGGAAGCGCCACGTAAGACCGTACTACTTCGAGTTCGTATCTCATGTTAGTTTCTTTCTCTTTTATGTATCTGCTTTTACTATTCTGATTTCTGTTGGTAACAAATCTTTTAAACCCTAATAGTGCTTGTTTTCTCAGAAAGTAGGGTTTTTTATGGTTGAGTTTGCGCAGGTTAATAAACGATGGGAGGGAAAAACAATCGTGGATTTGTTTACTCAAGAATTTAGAGGCCGACCTAATGATTACTATGTAATTTTCATTACTCTTTCCCTTTCCTTATTTTTTTTTTTTTGAGCTTAAATCCTTAATGATATCATAGCCTCAATATTTGTTGGTTAATTTGTATCAATTGATGAGTAGGTGATTGAAATGTGTTACAAGTTTCAAGCAAACTCCTTTATTGGAGTTTTTTTGTAGTTGCTTCCTTTACCTGTGTCTATCTTTGCATATGTTTGAATATTCACCTTTTCAGTTATTTTGGCGTGTTGTAGGTTAGTGCTGTCAAATGTGGACGTATACAGGTTGACGGAGAGAATATACCTGTTTCATACATCGTTAATCGATGTCAGAAGATAAGCCACTTTGTACACAGGTTCATCACATTTACATTAAATGTTTCTCCCCTGGAATTTCACTTAATCTCTAGGATAAAAGGCTTTTTTTTTTGGAATAATTTTTCACTTTTTTACATTTAACGAGCAATAATTCTTTTTTGGTTCATACATGCATTGATTGGAAAATCTTGTAATTTTTCAAATTTTAGTTTGACTTTTCTATAGTTTTTGTTTGCTCTGTTTAAATTAGGTTCTTTTCTTTGCTCTATGATTTTGTTTTGACGTTATAAAACTTGTAATTGATGCTGCAAAGGTTGTAGGCATGAACCACCAGTGATGGCTTGGGATGTTGCAATTCTTCAAAATGAACCCGATGTACTGACGGTGTGCAAACCAGCATCTGTTCCTGTACGTCTTTGGTTAAGCGTATTTCTTTTGACATTATTAGTATGTATGGTTGTTGGGGGTGTTTCAACAATGTGCTTATTCATTGGATGACGAGAGCAGGAACCTTTCTCCACTCTTACAATGTGTTGTCTGGAACTCTGTGTCCTTTTTATTTTGGGCTTTTGGTGGAGTCTAATTCATTTCTTAATGTTTTTGCAGGTACATCCATGTGGTCAATATCGTAAAAACACAGTTTTGGGCATTCTCCAAGCAGAGCATGGGTTGGCTCCTTTGTATCGTATCCAAACCTAGCTCCTAATGGAGCAAATATTTAACTGTAAATGAAGGCTACTTTTGTACTTTCTGTATTTGTAAAAGCAGGGTTTTCTGCTTTTCCCTTGACATAATCATGTTAGCCATTCATCGACTAGATCGTCTGGTCTCGGGACTGCTTATTGTGGCCAAAAATCCAGCTAAAGCTGACATTTTTAGGCAACATGTAAGTCTTCCATGATCTTTTCTTTTTTTTTGTTTTTTGAGTGAAAGAAAAATAAAAAAGAACAAATTTTTGGCAGTTTTGCTTAAAACTGTAACTTGGTGTTATAACTATGTTGGTAACAAGAAATACACATGACTGGCATAATTTTCCATTAGATATGCCTACTAAAATCTTTTTAGCAACATGGCTATATGTTGTTCTTGTATTCCATAATTTGGTAGAATGATATTTATGGATGCTAGCTGTTCAATCTATCAAAGATATAATTGCTCTGTTTTATCAATATGCTTGATATGGAAATTTAAGACTCTTTGCCTACCAAATATGTATGATTCTGTGTACATTTTTGGTTTTGTAAACTGATTTTTTTTTTTTATTTCAATCTGAATGTGATGGTTGCAGATTGAAGCTGGACTAGTGCAGAAACAGTATGTTGCAAAGGTCATTGGAGTTTTTCCTGAGTGTGAGGTATATGATATTGTTTAAGCTGGACGATTCATATAATTTGTATTCAAATTTGAATTTTTCTGTTTGTTCAAATTTGATTAAGTGCATAGACGGTCAGATGGGAAAGTCCATAGGAGTTTTTTATTTTTGGATTACATTAGAAAATCTGCCAATCTGTTGGTTGACCTTTTCTTTGTCATGTTTTTTCCATAAGGAACAGTGACAAGGAATAGCTTTTGATATACATATTTGTATTATAACAATATAGTTTTACACTGATCTTCTTTAAGGCTTAGATTGCCATCTATGGAATGTCATGACACATTTGGTTTGCGGAATGAAATAGAGGGAGAATGGAGTAGTTATTCCGTGAGAATAGAATAAGGTAAGAATAACTATTATGTAGTTTGGTTCGTAAAATAAAATTGCCATTATGATATGATTCTAATTTTTGATTGACCTAAATAGCTTTGGAATAGCAAAGGAATAGTTGCTAGAAAGACAAAATACCCTTGATTATAATTTATAATTTATAATTTGAAATATTAATTTTTTTATAATTTATAATTAAAACTTTAATATGATTAATTATTTTTAAGTATTAATTTATTTAAATATTAATAATTTATAATTAAAACTTTAGTTTTTTTCATTTATATAATAAAATATTAGTAATTTATAATTTTTTAAAATATAATTTTTAATTTTAATTTTAATTTCTTTTTTTTTTTTCTCTTTTTCTTCTTTTCTTTCCTCTTGTGTTGCCCTGCCACTAGAGATGTGGCTGGCGCTCCATTGTGCCGGATCGGCGCTCCCCACAGCCATAGCCGCTGTCCACTGGTAGCTGTGGAGGAAGTTTAGAGAGAGGAGTGAGGTGGATGAGGAAGGGAGAGAAAAAAAATAAATAAAAGGTTTTTAGATGTTAGGGTTAGGTTTTATTATATATAGGATAGTTAAGGGCATTTTCGTTCAAAACTTTTTGGTCTATTCTCACTTACGCGGGATAGCTATTACTGAGGAGGGGGGGGGGGTGGTCAGTATAGCTATTCCAGCTTTTCCGGGAATGGCCATTCCAGGAACCAAACTCGAGCATACAAGGGGGGGGAGGATACCCCAACCAAAAATGCAGTCAGTATTTTGTAGATGAAGCATCTGTTTTTTTTTTTTTCTTTTCCATTGTCCGGACAATTGCAACTCCTTAAAGAAAAAGAAAACGAAACACACCTTGTGCATGCACTTATTGCTTTCTGCAGTGTAGTGTTCTAGATCTGCTTCTAAAACCACACACCCCAACAATTTACTTGACATTTTTCAAATCAATTGTATAGCTCGAAAGATACTTGCTTTGTGTGGCAAAGTAACCACTGTCATTTGCTAGGCTGCTAGTAACTGAGAAGTAATTTTAGTTGAAACCAAAATCTAGGGCATTCAATCAATTTATTACTGTTTTAGGGAGGTGTGGTGTGGCAGCGAATTAATACAAGTAGTTGTTAAAATACTATTGACCTACCGTGCCATGATGGACTAAATTTTCCCATTTGACATCTGCTATGATCTTCTATTTTCAGCAAGTTGTTGATGCCAATGTAGATTACAATGCTAGAGAGGGAAGGAGCACTGCAGAGGTAAGTGTGTTTCTTCTACACCTACTTATAGGATTATAGTTGTTGTGTGTGTTTTTCTACACCTACTTGGCTATAATGAATGTAAACCATGCTTTAGAAGAGGAGGATATGAGGGAAAATGAAATCAGTTGTGGTATGAATGCACACTTGTATATTCAGTGCAAGTGGACAACATTTCACCTTACAACTTGCTCCCTTCAGTGATAAATTTGAATGTAAGACATATTTGTGGCCCAGAAAGTTGCAAAAATTTTGATGCTTAATACATATTCCAACTAAATGCAGCCCTTTTTAGTTATTTTCTTTTAATGGCATGCAACTTTTTCCGTGAGTTTTATTTGTTCTAATATTCAGTTCAATTGAAATATATTGGTGTTTCTCATTATTACTATTCAAACTAAATCTCTATGCTTTGCCAATAGTCATATTGCTTACAACCTTTGGATAAGGCTGTAGGTGATCCATAAATCTTTGAACTGCTTGTTATGTAGGGACTTTTCCTTCTCTAAGGTTAAAAGATTCATGAGGTTCCCCAGGATGTTTCTTATCTTTTAGTTAATGATCAATCAGAAGCAAATATAAGTGGCTATGCTGAATCATAGAGCATCTTCCTTTTTATGCAGGTTGGCATCTCTAA